GTCTCGGTCTTGTGTCTCTTTTATGGTCCTCAGGTCCTGGACCAGGGGCCTGGGATCCTGAGGGTCCTGAGGGTCCTGCAGTCAGCTGTCCGTATGTCTGCACTCCTCTGGTCTGAGATCTCTGATGTTGACCTGGATCTTCAGGAGTTTCCATCTCAGCTGGTTTGAGGAGGTTTCAAGGGGGGGGGGGGGGGGGTCTGGAGGACCAGATCCAGAGCTTGGTCCCAGTAGCCGGTCTTAAGTCAGGGTTGGACTCCACCAGGGCGACTGACAACCTAAAAACACTAACTCACCCGATCATCCAATCAGAGATCAGCATGAAGCAGCAGGCAGACTGTACGCCTGTGTGTGTGTGTGTGTGTGTGTGTGTGTGTGTGTGTGTATGAGAGCGTTTAATTAATTCACCATAACGAACCGTATCTGTGTGTGTGTGTGTGTGTGTGTGTGTTAATTTAGCCCAGTGTGTGTAAAGGAGATAGAGATATAGACTAATTACCTTACAAAGAAGTCAAAGGTCACTGACTCTGAGGGAAAGACTTTAGAGCCTGTGTGTGTGTGTGTGTGTGTGTGTGTGTGTGTGTGTGTGTGTGTGTGTGTGTGTGTGTGTGTGTGTGTGTGTGTGTGTGTGTGTGTGTGATAGAGAGAGAGATTTACCTCTGAGTGTCCGTACAGAGACAGACTCACTGACTGAAAGGCTGACTGTGTTTCTTGTCTGCCAGGTCAGCAGGCCTGAAAGACACACTCACACACACACACGCACACACACACACGCACACACACACACACACACACACATCACTCACACACACACACACACACACACACATATAAAGGCTAAGTAATTGGCTCTGCTCTAAACTCTGATAAATGCCTCCTTTTCACCTCCCCTTCCTCTCGCCCACTTCTCTACCCTTAATCCTCCATCTCCTCCCTCCTTTCCTCTCCTCCCTCCTGTCCTCCCTCCTTTCCTCTCCTCCCTCCTGTCCTCCCTCCTTTCCTCTCCTCCCTCCTGTCCTCCCTCCTCTCCTCTCCTCCCTCCTTTCCTCTCCTCCCTCCTTCCCTCACTTTCCTTTCTTCCTCTCCTTTTCTCTTCCCTTTCTTTTTTAATGCCTCTCATTCTCCCTCATTTCTCTCCCCCTCTCTCTCCCCCGCCCTCCCCTCTTCTTTTAGTCAATCATGTCACGTTTCATTTCCTTTCCTTTTTTATGTCCTTGTTTCCTCATTCCCTTCCTTGAACCCTTTTATTATGTACCTTAACCTCCTCTCCTGTCTCCTTTCCTTTCAGTAGATCTCCTTCACTTCTCCGTGTCCTCCCTCCTTCTTCTCTCCTTCTTCCCCTTTTTATCCTTTTTTCAGTTTCTCTTGTTTGACCTCCTTCTCTCCTCTTTTCACCTCCTGGTATTTCCTTCTTTCACCTCTTTTTTCATTTATGATCCCTTCTTTTTTAACACAACTCTTTCTAGCCTCCCATGTGCCCTTTATCACCTCCTCTCTCCTCTTTTTGCCTCCTCTCCATCAGTGTAATTCCTTTTTTTAATCTCCTCCCTCTTCACTCTCCTCTTTTCTCCTCTGCTGCCCCATTTCTCTCTCTAACCCTTTCAACCTTTTCTAATGCTTCCCAGTCTCCTTCAATTTCATCCTTCCTTGTCCTCTCCTCCCCTCTCCTGTCCCCTCCTCTTTCTCCTCCACAGCTCTATTTCTATCTCTATCTCTCACCTCCTTCATTTCTCCTGTAATTGCCCTCTCTCCTCTTGTTTCTCCTCTTTCCTCTCCTAGGAGCGCATCTTTTTACCTCATCCATCCTTCAATCTCTCCCTCCCATCTCATCCCTCCCTCCCTCCCTCCCTCCCTCCAAGCCCCCGAGGACAAACGGCGCTGCTCGGCACCCCGCCCGAGAGAGAGAGAGAGAGAGCGACAGAGAGAGAGGGAGAGCTAAAGAGAGAGAGAGAGAGGGAGACAGAGAGATAGAGGGAGGTGGTGCTGAGTGTTGGAGCAGCAGCAGCAGCAGCAGAGAGGACACTTTGCTCTCCTCTCTCGTCAGAAATGTTCGCAGCAGCTTCATTCTCGGATCATCTCTGACTGAAGGTAAGACTGACTCTCTCTCTCTCTCTCTCTCTCTCTCTCTCTCTGTTTGTCTTCTGAGCGCGTGTTCGTGTGCGCACCTGCCCGCGCGCTCTCATCGCTCCACGCAGGGATCATCTTTGCTGATCGGGTCCGTGTGAGACCATGTGGAGCCGCCCGTGTGTGTGTGTGTGTGTGTGTGTGTGTGTGTGTGTGTGTGTGTGTGTGTGTGTGGTGATAATCTCGCGTTAATGCTGGTTTTAGTGTGTACATAAACGTGTATAAACGCGGTAATCTGTGTGTGTTTATGTGGGATTATTCTTCTTGTTTACAATCTCGGACATAATCCGGATCCTGGTTCCTCCTCGGTCCTCCTCCTGAAGTTTTAGGAGCGTGAGTGAAATACTAAGAGGATGCTCCTCCTCCTCCTCCTCCTCCT